GTATTTTGTGCGTATATTATGTTAACTGACCAATATAATGGTGTAAATTTTTATATATTACTGTGCCTTTTGTGTGCCCTTAAACGCAAATAACTGTTTTATCTACCTATCTATCTATCGCTAGTTTTTATCAAAAGGACTATCAGGACTTGCTACATAATTGATTTTTTAGGACTACTCTAATGCTGTTGGCCGCAGCTGGCCTTTACAGCTTCACCAGACGATAGACGGCGAGTGCAGATGGCACTCCAAACCCACGGAAGGAGTTATGGAGAAGCTGAAGGCCAACTCCCGCCGGACAGATACGACTTTAGTCTGAGGGCACCACTAGGGGTTCGAACCTCGGCTCATGCCGTCGTAATTTCGATCCCTGTTTGAATTGAACGTAGGACGTATGCATTTTATATATGCGAGGGAAGTTTTCAAGATGGTTGCATTCTGAAGGGAGAGAAATGAATGCCCCTATGACACGTTAACATACGCCGGTTATAAATAATAGAAGCTCGCTAGTGGCTCCACAAAATAGGTCACTACACTGTATGACCTGTTTGTTCATATTTTATATAATGGTTCTAAATGTTGGAAACTTGATAAGAAATAGTAAAGTGGTGCAATTTAATAATAAATATTGAGATATAAATATAGAAGAATATAATATGTATATTATACATGCAAATATATAAATATACTATACTCATATAAAAATTATATTTCCATAAATAAACAAAAATATATCGTCATAGATTAAAATTTAAACGAAAGTGAAAAGAATTTTACTTTTCTCATTACAAAATCACGGATGCTGTTATGAGAAGTTAGTTGTCTGTCTTCTTAGTTCGCTGTCTCTATGATATACTAGACATAAGATCATCATAAGTTAAGAGCCACACTCTTGTCGGTGGAGCTCGAGTTCCTGCGACCTTCCGACATCAAATTTGTCTTTAATTTTTTTGATGTATTCGTGCCTTGGACTTCCCCTCACCTGTTTTCCTGTTCCCTCGATAACAATTATCAGAAATTCATCGTGCCGTATCAAGAGTCCCAACATTTTATAGAAAGAAGATATACGGAATAAAATATTACGCATTTTGAATACACAATGTAAAGTTATATAAAAATTCTTGCAACCCCCGTATTATTTGTAGTTTTATTTATGAAAGGGATTGACTGAAACTCTAGAGCTGTGCAGTGTAGGTGTAAACGCTACACTCAGAGCATTAGTTGAGTCAGCCCCTTTTCCCTAGAATCTGTGTCTGTTAATTTATACGTAGTTTAAGAGGTTAATTTCCTTTTTGTTTTTCTTTAAGTGAACAGTGTACGTGAACAAATGTATGCTTATGTCTTTTACTGGCAATAAATAAATATTATTATTATTAAAGTAACTAGATCTAAACGTATAGCTATAAATATATACAAATCAAATAACAGCTACCCCTAACCCTCTGTAACTGGATACTTTAATAGCGTCTTGCATGTACGAGACTTCTAATATATCCTGTACCTAAAGACGTCGATACATTAGGTGTCGTATTACATTTGATGGATCCAATCCCTCGATACTTTTAAGGATATAATGAAGTTTAAGGCGAACGATGGACAGTGTTGCCAGTTTGGTTGTTTCACCCGTAAATGAGGTGCATTTGACTCAACCACTTGGTGGGAAATTGGCAATTTTCCCAACAATTAGTGATTTGGAGGGTAAATATTTGGTAACACAGAAACATATAAAATCTAAAATTCGGTTTTGAAACGCGTAGAAAATTATATTATTTATGTGACTAAATATATAAATAACAATTTTCTTCTAAATCCTTTTAAGTGTTTCTAAACCATTCTAAATTATTATCTAAAAAGTTAAGTGCTTAACTTTTTAGATAATATTTTAACTTTAGAACGGTTACTTCCATTTAATGAAGCATGACTGAATTGTGCACAATATTTCAATAATCATATTGTTTTTTTAAATCAATATGTTTATGAAATATATAAATAGATTAACATATGTTTAAGAATTTGGTTTTCGATACTTTACGTAGTGGACTCTCCCAAACATTGCTGGCAAGACTGGAGATGGCGGTAACAAAGTTTCTCACTGTACTCCCGAGTTTGATAAAATGGTCAAACGGCATTTTGTACTTAAGCATCACAGTTCCGTGCACATCTACAGGTACTACACATAAATAAATATATATCTGATCCTGTCTGTACATGGATATAAATAAAAACTCAATAAACATAAATAAAACGAAGTAAGATCCCCTAACTTTTCTTAAATGAGAGAATTCTTAGCATTCCATAGATTTTTTTTTGTGGATGATAATGGAATAATGCACCCGCCTGCGCTAACGGTTTACGCTGGCGGGGCACCAGTGGAGGATGATAAGATGATCATGAGGTCAGGTCAGTTAGCCCATCGTGACAAATTCACTAGGAATTTATCACGATGATTTTCAGGGGGAACCGCGTGGAGGTCAACCTAACATGGTACATTGCTAGCAATGGGGTCACAAATCCCATTCCATAGATTGACCATGCGGGTGCCGGGTTCATCGTGTGGCAGATTTCGAGAGGGAAACTCCGAGCAGTTCCCGGGACTTGTGACCCGGGTGTAGGTTTTAGGGGCCGCTTGCCAACCTACGTGAACACTCACCATCACCGCTCGTAATTCTATTCTTGCCCACCTTAATCTATTATAGATTTTTTAAACGAAAATATTAGTGTTCGTCTGAGCAATTGTGTGCGCTAGACTTATTATCTGGTTAACCTATTATTTCAGCATTTTCCCTGAGGTATTGTGGTAATTTTGTCTTAAAAGTTTGTGTTTATTTTATTGTAATCTGTTTACAAACAAATATATTATATATTTATATTTAATTTAATTAATAATAAAAATATACATGGTCAATTCACACAGCGCCGCCTAGCCCCAAGCTAAACCGAGCCTTTGTTATAGATATCAGACAAGTGAATAAATAAATTGATACTTTTTTTGCGAATACTTACAGAATATACCTATAAAACACCAACCAATACAATACAATCATATCCATGAATAAAAATATTTGCACCGTGCGAGGAATCGAACCCGCAACCATTGGTAGTAAACAGTGTGCTAAACCACTACACCACCGAAGTCGTTATTGATTAATTTATCGTACGATAGTAATCTAATAAAAACATTTCTTAACGAGAATTAGTACAATGGCGGACTTACCTCAGTAGTGTAACTTGTACCAATCAACCTTTGAGTACCTCAATGGAATAGAGTGGAACTTTACTAATATTGCTAATGTGATGAGATGGGAGAGTTGTCCGGATGTTTATAATTCAATCACGTTTAAAACAGGTCGGATTTAGCGTTTGCTACACGAGAACTTTAACATTTATTGTTTTACTACCTGCCATAAGGGGAAAGGGGATTGTTAGTAATGTGGACTAATGAACACATTACTAGCAATAAACCATGTTAAATTGACCCACGCGGTTCACTCTGGAAACCATTCTGATGAATTCTTGGTGAATTTGTCACGATGAGCTAACTGACCTGACCTTATGTTCATCTTATCACCCTCCACTGGTGCCCAGCCAACGTAAGCCGTTAGCACAGACGGGTGCACCATTCCATTATCACCCATAAAAATAAATTCCGGCCATAGATAATAAAGGTCGTAAGTTGGAATAAATAATTTCCTACCTAAAGATTTGTCACGTCTTGAACTAAAACTTCTGCCTAATCAATTTGAATGTCTGGTACTAAAATGTCTACTACAAGTTTTGTATTTATAAACACTGAACTTTTCTATGACCAGCTTTTAGCATCGGATCTATGCTAAATTTAATGGACAAATATGATGTATTCAATTTGGACGAGCCCTTTATTACAAAAATTGAATCCATTAGTGAAAATTGTCTTTTTTGTATCTTATACTGTATTTGGCTCTGCTTATGGACTGTCGTTATCACCTACTTGATAGTGAACTCACCTGATGGTTAATGATTATCACCGCAAATGAGCACTCGTAACACCAGGGGAATTGTAAGTGCATTGCCAGCCTTTTAAGAAGGAGTAAAGTCTTTTCTTTCTCAATATACTTTCTTATATTATAGGAAATGAATTAAATACTTGTCAATTTATTACAAAACATTTTATTATGTTTAAACAATAAATTTAGTTATTTTTTATTCAATTGTAACTCAACTGATCTTGGAAGAATGGCCGACGACCTTCGCTTGTCCATTATTCCTCTGATAGAAACTGTTCTTCGGCTCCAAGCCTATCTCCCCGGTCACTCCAGTTATTACTGTTACCACATCATTGGTCTTTTGACCTCTTCTGCGACCTAATGTTTTTTTTTTTGTATGTGATAATGGAATGGTGCATCCGCCTGCGCTAACGGTTTACGCTGGCGGGGCACCAGTGGAGGGTGATAATATGAGCATGAGGTCAGGTCAGTTAGCCCATCGTGACAAATTCACCAGGAATTTAACACGATGGTTTCCAGGGGGAACCGCGTGGAGGTCAACCTGATATGGTACATTGCTAGTAATGGGTTCATTAGTCCACATTACTAACAATCCCATTTCCCCCCTGCGACCTAATGTTATATATCCAGAACTAATTACCTATCTAAAGATTTGGTATGTCTAGTACTAAAACTTCTGCCTAATCAATTTAAATACGTGGGACTAAAATTCCTAGTATAAGATTTCTTTTTCTAATTAAAATTACTACGTAAAAGTTCAGAGTTCATAAATAAACAATTTATGAACTCTGAACTTTTCTCTGACCATCTTTCGTTTTCGAATATATGTATGTTATGCTAAATTTAATACACGATTACATTACTTACCCTTTTTTACCTAGCGAAAATGGCCTTTTGCGTCGCATACCAAATTTGGCTCTGCTATGTGCCGTACTTCTTGTATTAGGGGAAAAAATTAAATACCTTGTCAATTTATTACAAAACGTTTTATTTGTAAACATGAAAATTAGTTATTTGTTTATTCAACTGTAACACTACTGATCTTGTAAGAATCTCCAACGACCTCCGCTTGTCCATTAGTTCTCTGATAGAAACCGTTCCTCGGCTCCAATCCTGTCTCCCCGGTCACTCCAGTTATGGCTGTTACCACATCATTGGTCTTCTTACCACTTTTGCGACCCAACGTTATATTATACCTAGTCACCTCCAACCCTAGATGTCTAGAACTAAAACTTCTGCCTAAAGATTTCGACCTCTTCACACTGAATTTGTCTCTGGGCATCTTTATGTCGTATATAGGGTTTATAATTCCCGTATATGTGTCGTTTAATTTTATTTGATTTAATTTCATGTTGGTGGAATCTAAATACGTTTGTTGCTCCAAATCTTGATGACGTTTGGGAGGCAGGTAGTCTGTGTATATGTTTACCTGGATAATGAAAATGTTCATTTCTATAAGCGTAGAATAATAATAATAGTAAGTTTATTGCGCCAAAAAAATAGTTACAAAATGGACCTAAGTTTTTATATGTATTTACATATATAAAGTAATAGTTCTTAAAAACTATTTAACACCAAATCCAGTGCTGTAGTGTCTAAACTAGATCAAGCCTGTACCTCAGACACCACTGCCTTCCTAAAGATAATATGCAGCTACTATAGAATTTTAAAAGCTGAACGAAAAAATAAGACTAAAGAAGGGTAACTTATAAATAAAAATTAAGGCAATTAATGCGTTACATCGTATAGAATAATAACTACAGGATAATTCACACATCTCCATTTAGTCTCAACATATGTACAAGTTTTTTATGGATGATAATGGAATGGGAATCATCTAAGTCGGTTCTTCTTGAAAAACGTTTTAAGGTAACACACATAAATACATCCGAATATAACAGAAAAAAATACAAAGGAACTTCCTGTTTTAAGTCGGTTGAAAAACAACAACTTTGCTTTATAGTATTTATAGATAAACAATATGACGGCGGATATCAGCTACCACTTATCGTCAAGAAAAATTCAATAAAAACACATTTTCCTATCCCGTAACCAAGTTGCGAAGGAAAATATCAATGGAAAACTTTTTATCAGAAGTTAGCAATGAAAGTACGGCCTCTGCTGGGAAACAAGGGAGAAGTTTTTTCAGGAAAACGAATATTCGCCATATAACGTTGGGATGTTTTTATTTTTTACATTATAGAATACAAGGTTAGGGTACAAAATAGAAATATTGATATGAAACACCTAATACGTGGGTCTGACTGTCTGTAAGCTAGAGGACGCGTAGCCACTACTACATAAGCCATAAAATATAATAGAAGATGCAATTAAAGAATACGAAAAGATACTGAGCAGCGAGTTCCTACATCGATGAATGGAAATTGATTTAGAGAGTAGACCGACTGGCGAAAAGGTTTATTTTTTATTCCAATGATATAAAAAAGTTTCTACATAAGGTTATTCTGAAAACAAATATATATTATGTATGTATTAAATAAAAATATATATAACCATTTCTGTCAGGAATCTAATAGCCATAGAAAAAGTTCTGCTTGGTTTAGGACTAGATGGTGTTTTCACCATGCAAGATTTCGTATCCGCGACTATCAGAAGCATCACAGTTAAACAAATTATCGCTTCATCACTAATGTACAATATTGTTCATCATTGCTTTGTATTTATCTCATTATTTGTGGTCGGCATGGCCTCTTCATCCACTGATTCCTATTTTATATATCTCTTTCACACAATCCATCCATCTTTTTGTCGTTCTCTCCCTTCCCATCCATCCACGTTCACGTTAAGTACTTTGTTTAAGACATGATCCTCGTTCCTCCGCATAACATGCCCGTACCAACTCAATCTGTTACCTCGCAACTTGCCTATAACAGGCTAACAGCTAACTTTCAAACTTCCTCGTATTTTGGTTACACCACGCATCCATCTCATTCACAATATTATTATACTTAAAACTTATACCCGATTGTCCTTATCCTTAGAGGCGCGTCTAGGTAGAGGTGGCGGTGGGGGTGGTGCTTCATCCCCTGATATCTGATCTGGTGGTCTACTGCGGTACTTCTGCGGTGGTTCCACAGTGGAACCCTCAGCTTCAGGGAGCTTCCAAGAACTGCAGGGGGATATCTTATTATAAACGCGAATGTTTGTAAGTATGGATAGATGTTTGTTACTCTTTCACGCAAAAGTATTGGACGTATTTTGATGAAACTTAGCAGTAATATTGCTTATAGATCTGAATAATATATAGGCTATAATTTTCTATAATACGCGGGTGAAACCGAGGCACGGCTAGTAATTATATATTTAAGTATTTCTTTTATCAAATTAGGTGTTATTTTGCGAAAGTCCATTTCATTAGATAATGGATTTATATTATTTTGTTTATTTCCGTTTCTAGTAGCATGTATGAGACCATAAATATTCAGTGCGGAAACTAGTTGGGAACTAGTGATAATTGTATAAGTCTGGTCGCCGTCAAAGTTACTTAGCTACATCCGAATTCTATTCATTGCCTGATTATGACTCGTTCAGAGTTGCAATATGGGTGTAGACTCAATACGAGCAGAGTTTGATCACCAATAGAAAATGTGGTAACGCTTCCAAAAATGGTTTCCATACGGAACCATCGGAAAGTTAAACGATGTGCTAAACCTCTAGACTAGAAGCCGTCTCACGATCGCCGAATACTCACTTGGTGGCTCTCTCGCTGCTTCTAGACCTGGCGGCGCGGCCCAGCCGGTGGAGAGCGAACAAAGCACCTTCGCTGGACTCGCCCAGCCATGAACACAACTCTTGAAGTATCTGAAATTAATATAATATACATACAGGATTATGCATTGACACATAATTCTAAACTTTTGCGTTGAGTACACATTACTAATATAGTCAAACGAATTTTAAAACCAATAATTTTATAGTATATAAAAGTCATTTGCCTCTCTCGACGTTTTAACTAAGTTGCCAGATCGTGCGTGAAAGAATGTGACGTATAAAAGTAGCTAATGCTACTAAATACTCCATCTGGGACTAAAATCGTGAATATATACTCACGGTGAACTTTCCCCGCTGCAGTAGTGCCAGTACCAAGTCTCCGAGAGTGAGATGCAGCGCTTGTGCCCCGGAGCGGGCTGCGAGCAAGTTCAGGGGCGCCGTTTGTCCTATCAGCCACTCTTCCTCCGCTGTCCAGGCTGTCTCCTCTACATCAGAGGCTCCTGATTCCTCCACTAAATTACATAACTTTATTTAAATCAAAACTTTATTCAAATTACAAGTGTATGCAGAGGTCAAATACATTTTTTGTAAATATATACATACTTAGACCATAAATATTCAGTTTCGAAAACATGACCATGGCTACTGGAGGTGCTGTGACACCTTCTATCAGTTGCCTCACGATGACTCGTTCAGAAGAGTTTTGTCTCTTACCGATGGGTGTAAATCCAATAACGGTCGAAATTTGATCACTAAGTTGTCACGCATTCAGTAGCGGTGGTCAATTTTCCGCACTGAATATTTGTGGTTTCAAACATACTTGTGTATGTAAACATAGTGGAATTAAACGAAATAATCTAAATCCATTAAGTAATAGAAAATGTGACAAAGAAATTGTTCGGGTCACCTAGTAATATTATAATATTAGAATAGAATAGAATAGAATATAGACGAGTAGAATAGAGCTTACTATACTTAAACTTACTTAAATGTAGTACATACCAGACAACGCATCTTTGACACTATTAATAAAGTCCAATGTCTCCAATAGACTGGGTCTGCTAAGAGCTCCCTTATTCCTCATAGTTGATCCTGCAGACCTTGGCTTCTCGCGCAACTCCTTGATACTCTCAACCGGCTCTGTATACACCAAACTCCTCAGGGTGTGGTACTTCCGTCGCATCGTCTTCGTGTCCGATTGGTTGGTTAGGGAAATTTCTGGAAACCCGTATGAGGTTACTGGTCTATTTCTCCTGGACCTTCGCCTCACCTTCAGTATCTCATTGTTCTCTTTAGCAATGTCTTGCGTTGATGTGGAAGGTATGATATCGGGTCGTGTGTTGCTTCGCCAGTAGTTGCCGTTTTTGATGCTAGTTAATATTTCCTCGCTACTCTCTTGACGGGCTATTCCATTTAGTTTCGAGCTAAAAATTAATAATGCTAATCTTACTAATATTATAAAGAAAATGAGTATATTTGTTTGGTTAAACTCGCTCATCTTAGAAACTACTGGTATGAGTTGTAAAATTCTTGGATAGCCCATTTATCGAGGAAGCTATATAACATCTCGCTACGACCAATAGGAGATGACCATCAATGGAAAAAGTGACAAAACCGTGAATACGTAGGCAAAGTTACGCAAATCAGCTAGAGAACTGATAGAAATACTGAAAAACTTTTTTATAAATAGCTATTATAAATATTATATACATATGTAATCATTTCTTCGCACTTTCCATAATAAAATTGCAACAATCATCCCCATGTAATGAAATTATAAAATATTATTATTAGGTCAGTAGCTTGTTATAACACTGTTATTATGTGCATAGTCTGTGGTCATAAATAAACATAGAGTAATACAAATAGACATATCGATGATTAACACAACTAGACGAAACGTCTGTATTGTCCGGGGACTAAACCTACGATTATCGATACAAACAATGTAATCCTCTCGACTACCGAATCCATCAGTTGATACACATAAAACAAATTAATCGAAGCGTCCCTGAGTAGAAGCAATAAAAAAGTTGCGTCCCGTTAAAGACAAGGCGCTGTTGCAAAAACAAGATGGATCGTTAACACAACAAGTTTCCATGTACGTGTCTCAAATGCAAGATGCTATGGATGCTTCTTCTAATCTGTACGAAAACTACAGGTTACTGTTTGGTTCGAATCTCTGGAGTATTTGTGGATAAAAGAACGGCCCGGTAACAGATTTATAGGAAGACTTTAAGAAACCCCTCCACAGCTTACAACGCCATCTAGTCACATACAATGCAGAGCTTTGAGTATTGGTACTAGAACATTGATACTCATAGAGACTATTTTGGATAAAGCTTATCAAACCAATATAAGTCTTATTACGGAAGAACGAAACAGAACCCCTACATTCTTTGGTCCTGCGAGCCTGATTTCCAAGCCAATACTGTGTGAAAACCAAATCCGCTTAAGATAAGGCGTAAACTCTACACCAAGAAAACGTATCTACCAAAGTTGCTATGCCTTAAAAAGTTGCTTCTAAAGGCAAGGTGCTGTTACAAAAACAATATTGATCGTAACACAACAAGTTGAAATGTAAGTACGTGTCCCAAATGCGAGATGCGACGGGCAATCTCGTTGCATCTGCTGCGGTCTCTTTGGAAACTATGGGGTATAGATTGGCAAATTATGGTCCGTTAATAGATATTTGACGTGATTGCCCCTCTGATTCATGTGAATTCACTTTATTGTAAAATTTATTTTTTTATTCCAAGGATTTTATTTTTCAAAGACACAATTAAGATTTATCAAGAACTCTATAATTATGTTTTTAGTCCATATTCAGATATCCGCCATTTTGAAGCTAAAATATCATTTCAAATTGGCGGTTATATATAGCACGGCGGTAAAGCATGCATGACCGAAGAAAGCGGGAATGCGGGAACTGGTAACTATGTTGTATAAAATAAAAGAGCACGCGCGCCAGCTATACTACGAAGTTGGTAAACAAAGATACGGCCCATCATCATCTGCTTCTTCCTTATCCCATTTATTCGTGGTCGGCGTAATATGTTTTTCTCTTCCATTCATCCCTGTTCGCAGTCATATCGTTATTTACTCCCTTTCTTACCATATCATCTTTCTCACAGTTCATTTATCTCTTTTTTGTCCTTCCTTTGCACTTATAACCATTCATATGTAACACCTTCCTTAAAATAACAAGGATACGGTAATCAGTTGGTAAATGTTTACCGTAGTCTTTCTCATTCTGTTTGTCTACATTTACATGCACATTCTTTCCTACGTGAAATCTGATTCGTGCGTAACGGAGCTGACGTGTAAAGACAGCTAATAAAATAAAACACCTACTCACCATCTATCTCCAACAATCGCTGTTGTGAACGCTGCTAGCACACATCTCTTAGCGAGACGCAACTTCGCTTCTGCCTTATCTCGCCTACTCAATGTGAGTGTGCGAGCTGAACTGTGCTCGCGGCGTGAAGGCAACTTTATTGGATACGAGATAGCCATGCCATCCCCTGTTGGAAATACAAGGCGGAAATCTGAAACAAAATATAGATATAGATATAAAAAAAATGAGACTATTCAAAGGTAGAAAAAAAAAATTCATACGGTGATGACTATGTCAATTCAGTATTTTTTCTTCAATAGCTAAGTTTATTTGAATAAATGATTTTCTATCTCTTTTCTATTCATATTCTTTCCTGTGTGAAGGCAGATATTGATTTATAATTCGCATTCGAGTATGTCCCTATTCACGACTATTTTTTCTTCTTTTTAATAGCTCGGCACGTTGGTGCATTTAGGCAAAGAATGCGTGCTGGCGACGCGCGCGATATTTCCTGGATCTCTTTGTCTACATTTACATGCTCATTCTTTCCTGTGTGAAGGCAGATATTGATTTATAATTCGCATTCGAGTATGTCTTCGAGTATGTCCCTATTCAAAGCTATTTTTTTCTTCTTCTTTTTAATGGCTCGGCACGTTGGTGCTTTTGCCTATATGACGAATGGAGGGGATTAAAGGAATTATCAACAGCCAACATTGTCGTATCATGATGGAATATTTGGCATTCCCACAATTCTCTGGATATATTTTTATCCAACGTGACAGGGGGCCAGTCTACCGCTATACAATCAATACTTAAGGTCTGTCAATAGCTTAGTGATAGTATGGTTATGTCTATTAAACATATAACTACATCATATGTAGTTACATATATTAAAAGAACATAAGTGGAATACATATCTACAATAATACCATAAAAAGGAAATAAAGTCCTGTAGACTGATGTCAAAAAATCACATTTCAATAATTAATACTTCAATTGAGTAATCGAAAGTGTAAAAAATGTTCACCCGTGCGAATCCTAGACGAGACTCTAATATATATACATATATATGTGGTATTTTAAAACGTCTTTATTATTTTATGCTTATTTACTCGAATACCGGACCATTACATGTAAATAAAAACACTTCCATCAAAGTAGATACATATAACCAAATGACGTAATTCAAATCCTCAATCTTAAATCTTTTATCTTTTCGACAGTCGGATATAACAATATAATAACGCTATAAAAAACAAAAGGCGTCATTCCGTATTAGAAATAAATAAGTTACAAAAAACCCCGTCCTCTCAAAGAGCGGCTAATTGCTTTAACATTTCTTCCACGAGCCACCGAGGCTGGACCAAACTTAATTAAGCTTTTATTATAATTCAAAGCTATTAAGCCTACTGGCGAAGTTTTCAAACGAAAATATTCTATTGTTGTTTGTTGACTTTCCCCCTTCCGTTCGCCGCTCAATTTTCGTTCAATGTCGTTTTGACATCTTTTTATGGATTTGTTGAGATGACAAATGAGATATTTCCGTTATTTCAATACCAAAGGTCCATAAATCAAATAAATGTTGACTACGAAACGAGCGAAAAGGGCATTTGCTGACGTTTTATTTAAAAGAAAACAAAAAATATATACATGAATTAAATTTGTTTCTAAAAAGCTGTTTCGGTTGTAGGGTGCAGATTGAATAAATAACTGTGGACTATTAACACAGCACCATCTAGTCCCACAGTAAGCTTGTGTTACGGGTACAACTGATATAAATATTGATTTGTTTACTTAGATACTTTTTTTTGGAAATACCTACATACATAATATATAATACATGTGTGTGTATTTATATATAACTAGCTGTACCCGCGACTTCGTCCGCGTGGAATTTAACATTATTTCTCTAAAATAAAAGTAGCCTAAGTTACTCCTTATTACATCCTGGAAACAAAGTCCCGTCAAAATCAGTCCAGCCATTTCAGAGATTAGCCGAAACTAACAGACTAACAAAAATTGTAAAAAAACATATTTTGGTGTATGTACTGTGTTTATATTCATATGAATGTAGTACACAACGGTTATTTCAATATTACAAACAGACACTCAAATTTTATGTATAGATGAATAGATATGTATGTATGTATATGTAAGTAGTATATATAAATTATTATTATTTAGTATTGCTATGCCTTTTTTTTATTTCTCTAGTCCATTCTTGTGCCATCTACCACTTTCTGTCGTCTCTCCCCTTCCCAAAGGTTGTCTGCAAGAGATTGCTTAGGCGATAAGACCGCCTGATGTACCTTACTACATATTCATTTATTTATTTTATTTATTTATTTAAATAACACAATATAAACGTTTATATTTTAAAACTATATACTACTTTAAACTATACAATGATAAGAATATTATTTTATTCATTATAGAAGGTAAAGCTTCTGTGTATACGTCAGCACGTTGGACCTTATCTAAAAATAATTTAAGTATTGCAATGCTCGTATAGTGGGACAATTATTAGAGTATTTAGTAATTATTAATGTATTTACTCTTTATTGCACCAGAAGTATGTTAAAAGAACATAAACAGTAGCTTATGTTCTTTTAATATACTTCTGGTGCAATAAAGAGTAAATACATAGAAAACATCCAAATCAAACAATCATACTCATAAATACAAATATTTGTACTATGCGAGGAATCGTACCCGCGACCATGCCGAAACCGCTACCGTATTATCGTTGTCAATAAATATAGATTTATTATTAACTATCTGACCCCGCGATCTCCATTCCGCTTCATAATAAAAAATAAATAAATAAAAAATAAATAAAAAAACAAAAAAATTGTATACATATATATATATAAACTTCTGTAAACAATATCGCATGCCGTGGCAACCAGTAATTAAGTCAACACTATATACCTGAACTCTTTGCAAGTTATAATAATTGTAACCTCATGGTCTATGTCTTGTTGGTCGCTCAAATAAATAAATAAATAATTAAATAATATGTCATGGAATTTTTGAAGTTTAGTAAAGCAATACATTTCTGAACGAACCCTATTTAACAGGTACGAACAGTTTGTATGGGAAAATAAAATTGTTGTTTTTACTATTTTACATGCAATTTCTTTATATTCTATCACCGTTTATACCTTCCCTGTACTTTCACGAATATTTCAAAACTAAAATTAGCCAAATCGGTTCAACCGACTCGAGTTCTACCGAGACTAACGGACAGCAATTCATTTTTATATATATAGATATATTACTCTTATTATATAAAAAATATTCAGCCTCGAATCGAATTTATCACTTTCTACTTTCAAAGTCGGTTGATTGTGCACCACAATGCATCATACTTTATAATTAGCAGTCAAGAAGCACTGAAGTGCATAGTGTAGCCCAAATGTACTAAGTTCGTGATTTCACAGCCACTGTATCGAGAACTTAGTTGGGATTTGCAAGTCGCCACAATTTCAAACTGATTACACCCATACATTCCAAATGGAAGTGGCATTATACTTTACGAACTATAAATATATTTTATAATAGCTGTGTCCACTTATATGTTATTCTGTTATATGTTATTCTGATGCATAAGCTATATTACTGTAAAGTTTCGTCAAAATCCGTTCAGTAGTTATTGCGTGAAAGAGCAACAAACATCTATACTAACAAACTTTCAATACTAAGATTTATATTATAAGATTTCTTGTGTACTTGTGAAGTAAAATAAAATCTTTATTTTATTACTTTATAATACTACCCGCCCCGGCTTCGCACTTGTGGACATGTATTTTACGTATAAACCTTTCTCTTACATCACTATACAGTGGTGCAAGACTGCAAGAGGATGGTTTATATGTTGTTAAAAACTGAATTGAAATCTGTTGCGTAGTTTAAAAGATCTAACCGAAGAGACAGCGAAGCTACTTTATTCTATACTATACGGAAAATAAATACAAAATAATATGCAAAAAATGGCAGCGTTACTTCTTAGCAGCTTCTGCAAAGCAGCCTCAACAAAGAGGACTGTTTCTAGCATCTATTATGTAGGCTATAGGGTATATAATAACACGTTATAATTAATACGAGAGGAGAAACAATAAAAAATGTTGCAAAAACTGGGATAAAAATATTCCAAATCTGTTATGTGATGCACATGAAAGTGCGCAGAACAACTCCTCAAGAACATAGACGACAAGCAACATGGCCTGTTGGGACGTCAGCTTGTTCAATACTTTAGTGCCATTAAAAAAACTGACGTAGGTATATAATATAATCATATTTACTGAGCAAAACTTATTACTCACTAAACGATTACTTAAATGTCGAGCGTGCATAGCAATAGTTGTTCATGCACGCGATTTTTATTTAATGTTAGACACCTATATAAATATACATTGTAAATAAACTGGCTTTAAAAGAAAAAAGTAATTCAATTGAGTTTCTTGCCAGTTCTTCTCAATTGGATCTATATACTGAACTTGACGGTAGGGAAAAAATTATAAACGGCTAAAATGTCCTACAGGAATAAATGATTATAGAATTTGAATTTGAATAACCTATTATTTTCTGAGAACACTACATGGTACATTTCTAGTGGACTTAGATCTACGTTAAACAGTCTCAACTAGTATTAACTTTTCACCAGTCCACGACGACCTCCCGACTTTCAGTTTGCCGAGTAAAACCAGACTGGCTCCTTGAAGTCGAGGGCTCCTAGTCGAATAGTCAAATTTAAAATGTTAACGTATTCACGAGCAATGCAAGACCGCTCTGAAATTTTGATCCCGCCGCCTCTCCAATATGTAATAGTGGGCTTTTGTTTTTGTACCCTTATTAAAATATTGGGGATGCATAAGTTATGGGTACGTGATAACTAGTTTAGTTTGTTTGCTCTCAACGGAATAGTTTTTTTAAATTGGCTTCAAAAGAGGTTTTCGATTTCATATTCGTTTGCCTAACTTACTTTAAAAATACTTCTCTTTAGATCGTTATGTATTATATTATATTATATTATATTCAGTACGTACTAGTGATTGATATTTATATACGGTTATGTCGTAGCAACATATATTAAATGTTTTCTCACTGTTATGCGCCTAGATTTATGTATATTATTAATGTCTATACATATAAATACAATTGGAGTGTCTGTTTGTAATATTGAAATAACCGTTTTATACTACATGCATATGAATATAAATACGGTACATACACCAAAATATCATTTTTTACAATTTTTGTCTGTCTGTCTGTTTGTTTGTTCCGGCTAATCTCTGAAATGGCTGGACCGATTTTGACGGGACTTTTTCGGCAGATAGCTGATGTAATAACTTAGGCTACTTTTATTTTAGAAAAATAAACTTAAATTCCACGCGGACGAAGTCGAAGGAACAATTTTGGAATGTATATTGGTTTATTTTTTCAGATTGATTGCGATACCGCCTTTGGTACTTTTTTAACGATACTGATTTTGTTATTTGTAATATTTATTTCTTTATAATAATAAGTTAGTGTGTTAACAACTTCGTGATCAACATCATCGAAGATATCACCACATACCCTCATCATTTCATCACCACCATCAAGTGATAAATCAATTTGCCTATGCAATCCATATAAAAAAAGCACTTACCCACATGGCGAAACCTGTCCACGAAGTCCACCATAGCCTTCGCCCAGGCTTGTCTCTTCGCCAAGTCAAGCAATCCCATACAGGGCTCCAATGTCCCATCGTGCACTCCCATACAATACTCCCTTAGACTCTCCAAATCTTTCTCACAGCACTTCGCATCGAACTCATCCAAAAACCATCCATTTTCTAAAGAACTATGGAACAGATCGTCTAGGTAAGGTTTCAAGACTGGACCGAGGTACTTCTTGTCTTCTTTGGCACCCTTGTACAGCCAGTTAAGGATATTCTTCATGACGTTCAGAGGATCTGCGAGGTCTTCACGACGGAGTTCAGGGTCCCTTCTCACCGCGTCAATAAGGCATGCTGATGATGCGTCGTAATAATCTTTGAGCTTGTTCCATTTCTTAGATCTGATAATAGAAAAAAAAAAACAGGTATATGCTTACCGCCTTACTTCTGATGGACGCGGGTTCGATTCCTTACAAGTTACAAACATTTGTATTCAAGAGTATGATTGTCTATGTATTTATAACAGTTGTCTAGTGGGGGGAAGATTGATAACCCCATTGCTAGCTATGTACCTTGTCAGGTCGACCTCCACGCGGTTCCCCCTGGAAACCATTGTGTTAAATTCCTGGTGAATTTGTCACGATGGGATAACTGACCTGACCTCGTGCTCATCTTATCCTCCACTGGTGCCCCGCCAGCGTAAACCGTTAGCGCAGACGGGTGCACCATTCCATTATCATCCACAAAAAAAAAAATCAGTTGTCTAGTACCCATAAGGCAAGCTCGGACTAGACGATGCTGTGTGAATTGTCCTGAGTTACGGTGGTCAACTAGTATAACATTGTTTGGGAAACTACTCTGCTACCAAAATGTTAGGGAAGCGTCAGTCATTTACCTTTATGGTTCTGCGGATTTCTTGGGCTTCAGGGTCTCGAAGGTATCTTCGCTAGCTTTCCAGCTTCACAGTAGGTTTACACAGTTCTAGTTTATTTTAATTCACAACACAATGCGCGCGCGCGTCAAGGCCGCTGTACAGTCGGTTCAGTACTGTAGGTAAGGGAGAGGAAGGCAAAGCGCAGGAACAGAAAACTAACGGACTCTAATATAATAATCTGTGCTTACGATGATACAGGGTATATTTTGAACAAACATATATATTATAGTAACTGTCCCGGGTAACTTCGTCTGCATCACACTTACTTGACCTTTGTCATTATATTTCGCCCAATTTACATTATATCTTTTTAAATTAGCCTACAAGCTGTGCCCGCGGTTTCACCATGAAATTTATGTATAGCCTATATAACAATAATAATAAATGTGGGGGGTGGTGTCCACCGAAATCATTCCAATCGTTATATCGGTGAACGGTCTTATCCCAACCAGTCTGGAGCAACATCTCAGACGGTTGGGATTCCGGGGCGGCTCACTCCCGGGAAAGATGCAGAAAGCGGTGCTGTTAGATTCTGCCCGCATTGTACGCCGGTTTCTCTCCCTGGGGCCCTGAACCCCGGCCGACTGTGCTTCTACCGGGGGTATGTTGCCATCTCCTCTCCTTAAGAGGGGAGATGAGAATATTTGGAAAATAATAATAATAATAAACTAGCAATGGCTGAAAGAATGACACGATAGGGAGAATAATAATAATAATCATAATCATAATGTGGTACGCCACAAAGAGTAAAAACCCAGCAAAATGGCTGAGAAAGCAAAACATACAAATAATAATAATCGCAGGACAATTCTCACAGCGCCATCTAGTTGTTTATGTAGTCCTAGTAATTGTTATACGACGACTACGGGCGAAAATTTTCAACGCTTCGGTTCGTGTGACCTTTTGAATTTATATAGTCTTGGTACCTATCCACAGTAGGAAACTTGTTTCTGAAGCGATGATATCTGAACAAATATTGTTTTAAAAATATTCTTGCTACATATAATAATAATAATAATCTCAGGACAATTAACACAGCGCCATCTAGTCCCAAGTTAAGCTAGCTAAAGCTTGTGTTATGGGTACTAGATAACTGATACATATACATAGATTTTTTATGTAAATACATAATATACATAGAAAACACCCAGACCGATACAAACAATCATACTCATGAATACAAATGTTTGTGCCGTGGAGGAATCGAATCCGTTTTAATCGGTCGTAAAGCTAGACCGCTAGACCGCTGGATCACCGAGGTCGTCATGTTATTCTGATCTATATATAGCTATATTACTGTAAGGTTTCTTGAACATCCGTTAAGTAGTTTTGCGTGAAAGAGTAACAAACATCCATCTATACTCACAAACTGTCGCGTTTATAATATTAATAAGATAATATCTGTTAATCTGATGTATAAGCTATACTACTGTAAAATTTTATCAAAATCCATTTAGTAGTTTTTTCGTGAAAGAGTAACAAACGTCCATCCATCAATATTGACAAACTTCCGCGTTTATAACGTTAGTTTAGTAGTAATTACTCACCTATACGTAGACAGTTCTCTATCAAACTCTCCCAGTGTCCGATGCTGGAAATTGTTCATGTAGAGATCTCTGGCCTGGTCCAGCATGATAGCTAAAATGTGTATCAGGTCCTCCACTGACTCCTGGTCCAGTGACGTAGCCTGAAGTAGGTTTTCCCGGAAAGCATTACGGTTCTCCTGTGAATGGAAAAATGATAAATCTGATCTATCTGATACCTTGTAGGAAGGGTGATTATTAGTAATGTGGACTGATGATCTTATTGCTAGCAAAGTACCATGTCAGGTTGACCTCCATGCGGCTCCCCCTGAAAACCGTCATGATAAATTCTTGGTGAATTTATCATGATGGGCTAACAGACCTGACCTCATGTTCATCATATCATCATCCACTGGTGCTCCGCCAGCGTAAACCGTTAGCGCTGGGCGGTGCACCATACCATTATCATCCACAAAAAAACCGTAGCTCATAGGGCGGAGGGATTGTCAGGTTGAGCTCCACGTGGTTCCCCTGGAAACCATCATGATAAATTCTTGGTGAATTTTTCATGATTGGCTAACTGACCTGACCTCATGCTCATGTTATCATCCTCCACTGGTGCGTCGCCTGCGTATACCGTTAGCGCAGGGGGGTGCACCATTCCATTATCATCCACAAAAAAAACCGTAGCCTATAGGGCGGAGGGATTGTCAGGTTGACCTCCACGCGGGAAACCGTCATGATAAATTCTTGGTAAATTTTTCATCATGTGCTAACTGACCAGACCTCATGTTCATCTTATCATCCTCCACTGGTGCCTCGACAGCGTATTCCATTATCATTCTATAAAAAAATAGAGATCACGGCCTCGACGAAGCTAAACTACCTGATAACTGTCACCCTTATATATGAATAGACATCACGGCTTTATGTGGCGCCCGTGATGCCCATACTGCCATTCGTTGCTATTTCTTATGACTCATTACTTTGTACCCTGTGATTACGCTGCCACACCTCACCTTTCAACCGAAATATAACTTCAGAAAAAACCGATGAGATAAAAATACACCCATGTGATTTTGTATAAAGTTATAATATATATATATATACAAATATAAATACAATCTATACTAATAAATAAAATTGGAGTATCTGTTTGTAATGTTGAAATCACCGTTGTTTACTAAATGCATATGAACATAAATACGGTACAAACACTAAAATAACATTTTTTAAAATTTTTGTCTGTCTCTCCGTCTGTCTGTTTGTTCGGGTTAATCTCTGAAATGGCTAGACCGATTTTGACGGAACTTTTATTGGCAGGTAGCTGATGAAATAAGGAGTAACTTAGGCTATTTTTATTTTAGAAAATAAAGTTAAATTCTACGCGGACGAAGTCGCGGGTACAGCTAAATAAATATATACAAAAAAAAATTATTTATATCAGTTGTCAGTACCCATAACACAAGCTCTGCTTACCTTGGGACTAGATGGCGCTGTTAAAAAAATAGTAATAAATAATATCTCAGGAGAATTCACGTTAAGCAGAGCTTGTGTTATAGGTACTAGACGACTGATACAAATACAGTGGACCCGCGGTAATCCGGCCCCTGTTATCCTATCCTATTATTTGTTATTGAATATTACTTTGATAATATACTTCAGAGTGCATATACATACATACATATATAACATAGAATCTTATCACTGGATCTGTAATTTGTCGGATTACAAGATACTCTTTTGTAAAAAATTCCGGACTATAAGCAGAGGACCCTTAAGCAGCACTCTATAATCCGACAAATACGATGGTCCGACACTGCCCTGCAAAACGTTTGTCGGATAACCGGGGGTCCACTGTATATGTATATAATACAAAGAATCATCATTGGATCTATAATTTGTCGGATTACAAGGTACTCTTTTGTAAAAAAATTCGGACTATAAGGGGTCTTAGGCAGTACTCTATAATCCGACAAATTCGATAGTCCGACACTGCTCTGCAAAATGATTGTCGGACTTCCGGGGGTCCACTGTACATAGATATATATTTTTTGTAAATACATACATATTAGACATAGAAAACACCCAAATCATTACAAACAATCATACTCATTAATAGAAACGTTTGTATCGCGCGAGGAACCGACACCGCGACCGTCGGAAGGTGGACGACGTTACACCACACATTCAACATGAAAGTTTGTAAGTATATTTCGACGACCTCGGTGGTCTAGCGGTCTCGCACACCGCTTTACGTCCGATGGTCGCGGGTTCGATTCCTCGCACGGCACAAACATTTGTATTCATGAGTATGATTGTTTGTATCGGTCTGGGTATTTTCTATGTATAATATGTATGTATTTACGAAAAAAAAATTATCTATGTATTTGTATCAGTTGTCTAGGACCCATAACACAAGCTTTAGCTAGCTTAACTTGGGTCTACATGGCGCTGTGTGAATTGTCCTGAGATTATTATTATTATTATTATTATATTTTTACTCTATCACGCAAAAAGTACTGAACGGATTTTGATGAAACTTTACAGTAACATAACTTATGCATCGTATACTGTAATTTAACGTGGACGAAACCGCGAGCACAGGTTGTAAAATATAATTTTCAGCTCCCAGAACTGTATAACTGATTTAGCAGGGCACAAGGCCGAGCCCTGTACGGTCCCTATTCGATTAAAGTTTGCAAATCACCCATGACCTTGTATTGTTTTGATTGCCCAAACTACGTACACTAGGGTTGCCATGCCCAATTTAAAAAAAAACAGGATCGAACGTTCAAAAAACCAGGACTATCCAGTTTAAAAACAGAACGCAGTAATAGTGTTGCAATAGTTATATTAATCTATACATAGAAATAAAATTGGAGTGTCTGTTTGTAAAATTGAAATAACCGTTTTTTACTACATGCATATGAATATAAGTACGGTACATACACCAAAATAACATTTTTTACAATTTTTGTCTGTCTGTCTCTCGGTCTGTTTGTTCCAGTTAATCTCTGAAATAGCTGGACCGATTTTGACGGGACTTTTTTTGACAGGTAGCTGATGTAATAAGGAGTAACTTAGGCTACTATTATTTTAGGAAAAATCTTTTTCTTTTAGAAAAATAAAGTTATATTACACGCGGACGAATTCGCAGGAACAGCTAGTATGTAGTAAAATTAAAGTAATTAATATAATCAGGTTGTTAATAAAAAATATTTTATAATATTATCAGTATACTGTTGAAAATCAGTAATTAAGAGGCACGCATATTTTAAAAACACGGTACGCCAAATAACTGTTCAGGACTTTCCAGGACACTTCGAAAACTGGGACATGTCCTGGGAAAACTGGACAGTTGGGCAACCCTAGCGTACTCTAACTTAGGTAAGAATTTTCCTAATCTTTCCACACCTCAGACACTTTTAGGGAGAGAGAAATTTCTGGAATTTGCTAGTCTAGAATGGAGTGGGGTACCCTTGTAACGACCTCTTTGTGGACACAAGGACGTACAAAATAATTTAATGTAATTTTTTATTCGCTGAGCGAGGTCGTTTTTAGCAAATATTCTTTAGTAGTGTATTGGTTTTTAATTACTTCACTATGTTTGTGTGACTGTATGTATGTATATGTTAACCGTTTTTTACTACATGAATATGAATATAAATACGATACATACACCAAAATAACATTTTTTGCAATTTTTGTCTGTCTGTCTGTTTATTCCGGCTAATTAACGGGACTTTTCTTAGCAGGTAGCTGATGTAATAAAAAGTAACTTAGGCTACTTTTTTAGAAAAATGAAAATTCCACGCGGACGAAGTCGCGGGTACAGCTAGTCAGTATAGTATAGTAATAGTGGTACAGTAATATATAAAATTATCGTGTCACAGTGTTTGAAACAAAAATTATCAAAACGAAATTGACCAATTCTTATGGGATTTTGTATGTATATTCAGTAGGTCTGAGAAGAGAACGTAGACTAATCTTCAAGCACCTAACTGACAATGATGGTCCTCCACAACCTTTTTTATTTTGTGCTAAATATTTTTTTTATTTTTTATGATTTGACTACAACCCTAATATTTTACTCTTCCACCATCAACCCCTATTCTTTATTATTACTATTAGAAAGAAAAGAAAGAAAAATATATTTATTTCGCGCATACAAATCAATCATACAATATTTTACAAAAATTATAACAAATTATTTTAAAAATACAGCTGCGACCAAATTGGTTTCCACTCAGTTTCACACTTTGTGTCTGGGTTGTAATGCCCAAACGCTGATTTTCAGTGGAACCTTGTAGACAATAATTTAAAATATAAAAATTGTGTACCTACTGTTGCCTGCGTGAACGTGCTCTGTTGGTGCTTCTGATAAGGTGTAAGTCTATGCTATGATAATGTATGGAAATGAAAATACATATATAAAACAATACAGTACGGACAGTTATACAGTGGAAATTTGATTTTCTAAAAGAAATTTCTTAAGTTTTTGTTTAAATGTAAATACAGCAAAATTAATTTTATATGTATATATAAATAAAATATATTAATTCATTACTCACACAAGGGATCATGTTCTTGCACTTCACAAGCTCGCTGGACACCCTCCACAGGTACCGCAGTTGCCTCCGAGAGTACGACGGTGCACTACCGGCTGCAATCTTCGCCTCTTTGTTCAAATTCTCCCACCGGCTGAAGAGTACCATTTCCAAGGATTCGGAAGGTGTAGGTGGAATGTCTACTGATCCTGTCGAAAGAAATAGAAGTGTAAGTTGTAGTCAGGGAAGAAGGATAGGAATTACAGGCATATAACTTTCTTATTGGCAAAATTATCAATGTATTAACATCGGATATACTTATTATAAATTTATTCATGACATGTTTTAATTTATATAATGTATAAGTCACAGGTTCGGCCGCACATCGAGTACTGCTCTCATCTTTGGGCGGGAGCACCTGGATACCAGCTCGGTCCTTTTGACTCGGTTCAGAGACTTGCTATGAGAATTGTCGATGATCCCAATCTCTCTGGCGGTATCAAGCCACTTAGCTTGAGGAGAGACTTCGCCTCGCTTTGTGTATTCTACCGATTATACAACGGACTGTGTTCTGAGGAATTGTTCGACATGATGCCGACAGCCACCTTTTACCACCGCACCGCTCGCTATCGATAGGGAATTCATCCCCACACGCTGGAACCTAAGTGGTCCCGAACAGTGCGGTTTCAGAGGAGTTTCCTCCCGCGTACACTTAGATTGTGGAATGAACTTCCTGTCGAGGTTTTCCCACGAGACTACAGTATGGCGTTTTTCAAGAAGGGTATATTAAGGTTTCTTAAGGGTCGGCAACGCGCAAGTGATACCCCTGGTGTTTCAGGCGTTCATAGGCTACGGTAACCATTTACCATCAGATGGGCCGTATGCTTGATTGCCACCATAGTAGTATAAAAAAAAATGTACATCATATATTGTAATGAGGGAAAACTGTGATTGTTACAGCACATGTTGTAAATACTATAAATGACGTAGTAAGATAACTTGCAACAGTCATACTCGCTATAAAGTTCAAACTTGTAGCGGCCTGGTGGGCCGGGCCGATGTGCTCTAATATGGTTGAGTGCAATGATGGCTGGCTTATCCCTCATACTCGTGAACGGGTGCTGCTTGGACTGGTCTGTTTGGGTTGCGAACACTGATAAGACTTATTTGCTTTTGCAATAGCATATGCTGGTGGTCACTCTATTCTCCCAAGTTTGAATTTTAATCACGATTTCGTTCATCATGAGCACTGACCTGCAGTGTTGTGGAGATGCAGCAGACAGTTCCTCAGACAGCGTCCGTCGGCGGACCAGTCTCCGCGCCCCCCGCGCCGCACCACACTCGCCCGCTCTATACGATGCACATAGCCTGCCACCCCGCCCTTCTCGCACAAGTACACCAGTCTGAGAATACAATAGAGTGGAGTTGGGTGGAGTTAAGTGGTGTAGTGTGGAGTAGAGTGGAATATTTACAGAAATAATATATTTTAAAATTGCAATCAGTTGTCTAGTGACCATAACACAAGTTATCCGTAGGTTAGTACTAGATGGCGCTGTGTGAATTAGAGTAACTGTTATCATTTCTATTAAAACAAAATATAATGTTAGTCTGAAAACTTTTTTATGGCAAAAAAGGGGACAAACTAGGTAGTGGCTCACCTGATAGTCAGTGATTACCATCGCCTATGACCACCTGCAGCACGAGGAGAATTGCTAGTGCGTCACCAGCTTTTTAAGAAGGAACAATCTCTTTTCTCGAAGATTTAAATTTTGTATCGGTTCGGAAATACTGATAACGGGTGACTCTACAATGTGATTGTGTGTGGCAAAAAGTTTCTCTAAAAACGCATGGTGGAGGACTGCCGTTCATCACTTACTCGTCCAATATGAGTAGCAGATGATGTGCCAGGTGGGTTGAGATGCAGCCGCGAGCCGCCGCCTGCGGGTACGTTGCGCAGCGGTCCAGGCGACGCCGCAGGGCGCAACTAACTGCGTACCGACTCAACGCTCGTAATGTGCCCTGATTGGTACAACAAAAATATATACATAGCAAAACGAGTAGATGTCATCCTGCCCACAAAAGTAGAGTCACCTACCGGAAAACTATATCTTGAAACCATCCAGAAACATACTAAACTAAACAAAATTTCATCCAAATCGGTCTAACCTTAGGTAGTTAGTAGAAGAGCACACTTTGCTGATTCTAAAGAACTACTAATACATTTATATTATTTTATTTAATTCCGATACCTTTAACATGTGTCAGACCATGAATATTCGATGCGGAAATTTGACTACCATCACGCTCTTCTCGAATAGTGATCAAATTCTTCGGAATTTGATCATTATTCGAGAAGAGAGTGTTGACTATTCTATGCGCGCAGAATAGTCAACTAGGCTTCCAAGCTATATCCGAACTCTATTCAATGCCTGATGATGTTCTTGGGAAACAAAACATGTCTCGCAATATGGGTGTGGACTCAATCGGAAGTTTATTTAGAAATTACAAACATGAGCCGAGGTTCAAATCCCTAGCGGTGCCCTCGGTCTAAAGTCGTATACGTCAGGCGAGAGTTAGCCTTCAGCCGCTGCATAAGTTCTTCCTCAGGTTTGGAGTGCCATCTGCACTCGCCCCGTACCATCCGTTGAAGCTGTAAGGCCAGGTGCCAACAGCATTAGAGTAAGTAATACGAAGAAAATCCTGATCCACAATAATCCTATGTATTAAGTACTACTATGATAATACAACGGATATGTATGTAGTAGTACTACTTGTTTGAAGATGCATGTAGATCATAAGTCCTTCCGCGAGTTTGGAATGCCATCTACATTGGCCTACGGGACCTATCGTCCCGTGAAGCTGTAAAAGTCGACTGTGGCCAACAGTATTAAAGTAGTTCGAAGGAAATCCTGATCTACAATAATCCTATGTATTAGGGGAATGGAATGGTTAGTAATGTGGACTCATGACCCTATTAGAAGTAATATCAGGTTGACCTTCACGCGCTTTCCTGGCAACCATCGTGATAAATTCCTTGTGAATTTGTCACGGCGGGCTAACTGACCTGACCTCATGTTCATCTTATCATCGTCTATTGGTGTTCCCCTAGCGTAAACCGTTAGCGCAGGCGGCGGTGCAAGTTGCAGCATTTCATTATCATTAATTAAAAAAAATCTATGTATTACATACTACTATGATGATGAATCTATGATATGATATTACGGTGATGTAGTGGTACTGTTTGTATGAAAGTGCATGAGACTGACCTCGTAGGCCCCTTCCCTCATGGTGTCCAACAGCGCGTTGAGTGCGGCGGCGAGTGCGGCGGGGGCGGCCGCCCGCGCGGTGTGCGCGTCCAGCGCGGCCTCCAGCGCCGGACACCACACCTGCCACTGCAGCCCGCGCTCGCCACCACCGCTCGACGGCGGGCCCACCGCCACTGCGTAGTATCCCTACACATTTTTTATTGGGTTGTTTGGGCTATTGCCAGGTGTTCCACTGCAGCCTACGCTCCCCACCACCGGTAGATGGCGGGCCCACAGCCACCGCATAGTAACCCTACACATTTTTTATTGGGTTGTTTGGGCTATTGCCAGGTGTTCCACTGCAGCCTACGCTCCATACCATCGGTAGATGGCGGGCCCACAGCCACCGCGTAGTAACCCTACACATTTTTTATTGGGTTGTTTGGGCTATTGCCAGGTGTTCCACTGCAGCCTACGCTCCACACCACCGGTAGATGGCGGGCCCACAGCCACCGCGTAGTAACCCTACACATTTTTTTATTGGATTGTTTGCTATTGGCAGGTGTTTCACTGCACTGCACTGTTGTAATACAACAACAATAATATTATTAGCATACTAGCTGAACCCCGCAACTTCGTCTGCATAATTCTTGACAATTGTCGCCCAAATAACAGAATTTCTTGTTAAGTTATAGCCTATGTTTTTTCAGCCGTATAAGCTATGTTACTGTAAAGTTTGATCAAACTCCGTTCAGTAATTTTTGCGTGAAAGAGGAACAAACATCCATCCATACTCACAAACTGTCGCGTTTATTATATTAATTAATAAGATTACTATCACAAACCTATGTATCTATGTTTCCAAATCTATGTTTATTCAACAACTCACACTAATATGTGTGTTCATTTTTAGTTTATTGAATATATATTATATATTAAAAGATAGTAGTACCGACCGCTTGTGCACTAATATAGTGCAGCAAGGCGAGGGGGTGTGTAAGAGGCACCCTGGTGGAGTATGCGCTCGCGCTGCAGCCCGCCACGCGCGCGCCCAGCATCAGCTTAGCCTCAGCCTCCCCCGCGCCGACTCGCACCATCACCCACGCAGCCCCCTCCACGATGGCGAGTCGACGGTCATTACTCAATTGTGGAGGAGACGCTAAAATTCGTGAAAAACATACTTTATCCAGTTTTAGAAAGGACTTTGATGAGGATGTTGTGGAGGGGACGCTATAAATCGGGAAGAACATACTTTTTATACAGTTTTGGAAAGGACTTTAATGAGGATGTTGTGGAGGGGACGCTATAAATCGGGAAAAACATACTTTATCCAGTTTTAGAAAGGACTTTGATGAGGATGTTGTGAAGGGGACTCTATAATTCTGGAAAAACATACTTTATCCAGTTTTTGAAAGGACTTTGATGAGGATGCTGTGGACGGGACGCTATAAATCGGGAAAAACATACTTTATCCAGTTTTAGAAAGGACTTTGATGAGGATGTTGTGGAGGGGACGCTATAAATCGGGAAAAACATACTTTATCCAGTTTTAGAAAGTACTTTGATGAGGATGTTGTGGAGGGGACGCTATAAATCGGGAAAAACATACTTTATCCAGTTTTAGAAAGTACTTTGATGAGGATGTTGTGGAGGGGACGCTAAAATTCGTGAAAAACATACTTTATCCAGTTTTAGAAAGGACTTTGATGAGGATGTTGTGGAGGGGACGCTATAAATCGGGAAAAACATACTTTATCCAGTTTTAGAAAGTACTTTGATGAGGATGTTGTGGAGGGGACGCTATAAATCGGGAAAAACATACTTTATCCCGTTTTAAAAAGGCATTTGATGAGGATGTTTTGGAGGGGACGCTATAATTCGGGAAAAACATACTTTATCCAGTTTTAGAAAGGACTTTTATGAGGATGTTGTGGACGGGACGCTATAAATCGGGAAAAACATACTTTATCCAGTTTTAGAAAGGACTTTTATGAGGATGTTGTGGAGGGGATGCTATAAATCGGGAAAAACATACTTTATCCAGTTTTAGAAAGGACTTTGATGAGGATGTTGTGGAGGGGTCGCTATAATTCTGTAAAAACATACTTTATCCCGTTTTAGAAAGGACTTTGATGAGGATGTTGTAGAGGGGACGCTATAAATCGGGAAAAACATACTTTATCCAGTTTTAGAAATGACTTTGATGAGGATGTTGTGGAGGGGACTCTATAATTCGGGAAAAACATACTTTATCCAGTTTAGAAAGGACTTTGATGAGGATGTTGTGGAGGGGACTCTATAATTCGGGAAAAACATACTTTATCCAGTTTAGAAAGGACTTTGATGAGGATGTTGTGGAGGGGACTCTATAATTCGGGAAAAACATACTTTATCCAGTTTAGAAAGGACTTTGATGAGGATGTTGTGGAGGGGACTCTATAATTCGTGAAAAACATACTTTATCCAGTTTAGAAAGGACTTTGATGAGGATGTTGTGGAGGGGACTCTATAATTCGTGAAAAACATACTTTATCCAGTTTAGAAAGGACTTTGATGAGGATGTTGTGGAGGGGACTCTATAATTCGGGAAAAACATACTTTATCCAATTTTAGAAAGGCATTTGTTAAGGATGTAGAAAAAATATCAATTTAGTTTTAGGTTATTATGTACGTTGCGGAGGTTCGATCATCAAGAAGGGTGGCAAGACAACAAGTAACTTGGAAATACACGAGAGGCGCGAGGTACAAAGTTGGAAGGAGCTTCCTCAGTAGATTAAAGAAATTGTCATGACTATTTGACATATCATAAGAGTCTGTAAGAGACCTAAAGGTATTTTGAACTGAATTTAATTTAGAAGTGCTTAAATTAAATTTATCAGAATAAAGGGTTTTCTATTATATTCTATTCTATTCTCAGATATTGCTGATATAAGCACAATCTAGAAATGATTGATATGTATCAAGATCTTGCGTCTTAGCAACAGTCAGAGGTGTCGAATTAATTAACCTCGTATTTTCAGTAAGGCTTATACTAAAACTTAATATCGAGTCGATACGTTACTATGCCAACCATTTTCATTAAGAACTTTAAGCTAAAAACGTATTTAACTAGCGATTGCGAACAAACCTACAGTGTGTAATAATTAATTAAATAACCGAGTTCCTATTAATTTTGTGAAATTTGCTAACACTCCGTTTTCGTAGTAACACGAAATAATGGAACTATCCAATTTTAACTAGCATTACATTTTGCTTTATAGATATCTAGTTACCCGCCCCGGCTTAGCACGAGTATCCATTATTATACATAAAAAATCTTCCTCTTGAATCACTCTATTGTTGTAAACTGTATTAAAATTCGTTGCGTAATTTAACACGTTGATGATCGCATTAAAAAATCTTATTTCTCACATAGGGCCCGGCATTTCTTTTATTGTTAATTACGTATATATTTTTAGTGTACAATAATTTGAGGTAGACATTATTTAATCCCTAAATTTAGTTCAATTAAAGTGCCCACGGATGATTACTTGGTCCCAACGTGTAAATTCACTTTCGTTGCGAAGTAACCCACAGGGGGGAATGTGGTCTTTAACGTTTTAAAAAATATAAACTTTGCACAGATTCAAATCATCCAACAGCTCTTATTCTGCATTTACTTTTGGAATTCTACATTAATTACTATTCTACATTTGTTATTTATTTATTTATTCTTTTGCACACAAAATTGTATACATGGCGGACTTAATGCCTGATGGCATTCTCTACCAGTCAACCGACGCGTTGCTCAGAGATAGTATAGCGGTGCAATTTTACAAGTATTAAATAGATTAATACAGAAAAAAAAAAACATAAACGTACAAATATACTTCTAAAATTATATAATTACATAAATAAAGCAAAATATATAAGCTTAATAATTATCATACAATTTAAATATAATATTAAACTATAATAAATATACAATATATATGATTTCATGACATATATCTTGAGACATATGTCATGAAATCATATATATTGTTGTTTGTGTGAATGTGTTATATGTAAATTTATTATTTAAAAGCAATGTATAATGTGAGGTTGACCTCAACGCTGTTGCCCTCGAAGTCATCATGATAAACAATTGTTATTTATTACAATGATAAACAAAGTTGCAATTGATAGCAATACTAAAAAGAACACTCTAAACTATCTTTCTACCATACCAACCCCAGATTATTCCTCATTTTCTTTCAGTTTAGTTACGAATTGTGATGTTGAGAAGAGCTTACTTTCAATCTCTTCCGATGCCGTTGGTACGGATAATATTAGTCGTGCTATGATCCTTCCCATTCTAGATATTGTCCTTCCTATTATCACCAAAATTTTCAATGTTTCCTTATCCTTAGGTGTGTTTCCTTCCGTCTGGAAAGATGCTCATATTATTCCACTTCCCAAAAAGTCTAACCCGAGCTCCTTTTCAGATTATCGTCCAATATCCATTCTCCCTTTCCTCTCTAAAGCTATGGAGCGTCTTGTCCAAATTCAATTAAGTACCTTCCTTTCTAAAAATGGTCTCGTAAACTCTCTTCAATCCGGTTTCCGTCCTGGTCATAGTACGACTACTGCCCTTGTAAAAATTACAGACGATATTCGTTACGGCATGGAGAACTCCCAGCTTACTGTCCTTACATTACTAGATCTAAGTAATGCTTTCAACACAGTTGACTTCGATATTCTGCTGGGACTGATGCGTTCTCTCAACATATCTCCAATCGTAACTAAATGGTTTCAAACATACCTGTATGGGCGCCGGCAACGCATTCGAATAGACAATCATTTGTCCCAGTGGTGCCATACCTCAGCCGGCGTCCCTCAGGGTGGCGTCTTATCTCCATTACTTTTTTCGCTATTTATTAACTCCATTACTCTCGAACTTCATTCCTCATACCACCTTTACGCAGATGATCTCCAACTATATACACAAGCTCCATTACATAACATCACCTCTGCCATCACTAAAATCAACGATGATTTAGCAACCATTTCAAACTGGTGCAAATCGTACGGATTAATCGTGAATCCTTTAAAAACGCAAGCTATTATAATTGGCAGCCCCTTTTATATCGCCAGAATAAATAGGAACCTTCTTCCGCGCATTGTCTTCAATGGTGAACTCATAGCCTACAGTGACAGTGTGAAAAACCTAGGAATTTACTTTGATCAGACACTATCATGGTCGACTCAAATTATGGAACTTAGTAAAAAGGTTTTTAGTGTCGCTGGTTCATTAAAACGGTTACGTAATTTCTTGCCTTTCGACACCAAGGTTACGCTTGCAAACACCCTATTACTTCCTATTCTGGATTATGCAGATACTTGCTATCTAAACCTCACCGAAGCCCAGTTGAACAAACTTGAGCGTCTTCAAAACGTCTGCATTAGATTCATATTTGGTTTACGTAAATACGACCGCATTTCACAATTCCGTACTCAGCTCAAGTGGCTCCCAGTTCGTTCTCGCCGAGATTGGCATACTCTCTCTTTACTCTATTCTATCCTTTTTAACCCTATTACTCCATTATACCTTAAAGAATCTTTCACATTTCTCGGTGAGGTGCAGAATAGTGGTCTGCGAAGTGCAGATAACCTCCTGTTAAAAACTCCCACCCATACCTCTAGTTACTATTCCAAATCCTTCTCTGTACAGGCTGTGCGCCTTTGGAACTCGCTACCGCCCTCCATACGTAATGCTCAATCCTCAGCCATCTTTAAGAACTTAGTTAAATCTCACTTTCTCTCCCCGTAAATACTCTTATGTTCACTTCTTTTCCACTTCTATTGCTTCTTACATTTAGTATAGTGTGTTATTTGTGTAATATTTATATGTATGTATAATTTTTATGTGTATGTATGTATTTATTAATTTTAATTTATTTAAGTAAGTTTATATATATATATTATATTTTGTTACCTTATTTCCACTCACGTGCCGCCTACTTTATTTTTATTTATACTCTCTTTCATAAGGTTGTCTGGAAGAGATTGCGTTAGCGATAAGACCGCCTTCTGTACCTTCTTCTTTCTTTAATGTATTGTTATATATTATTTTCTTTTTATGTATCTACTTTTTATATTGGTGCAATAAAGAATTATAAATAAATAAATAAATAAATAAACGCATGGTGAATTTGCCACCATAGACTAACTGACCTGACCTCATGTTCATTCTTTTATCGTCCACTAGAACGGGCGGGCTTATCGCAGGCCGTTCCACCATTTCATTATCATCCAAAAAACTCTGATAAAAGACATTATCATCCAAAAAAACCCTGGTAAAGGACATTATCATTAAAAAAACCCTGGTAAAAGACATTATCACCCAAAAAACTCTGATAATAAACATTATCATTCAAAAAACCCTAGTAAAAGATTACATCTACATAACTTAACAACAAAACACTTTGTTTGACGTACCTCTCTCCAGATAGCAGTACCGGTGTGCACGTGCATTGCGTGCGGCGGTTGCGCTGAGGACACGCGCGCGTCCACCGCCACGTGCCGACGTGCAACGCGCGACCAGCTCCACCCACCGCTCCAACACTTTGTCCCTATACCACATATACATCCTTATTAATATTACAAATGCGAAAGTAATTCTGTCTCTATTATACAGGGCTTTTACTTATTATATTTTTCAATTGACAACGAGCCAAATTAGTTCTTCATTTTTGTAGCTAAACAACAGCGGATTGTGAATCTGTATTGTGAAGAATTTTTTTCTCTACAACTTTTACTTAAAACATTTTTTCATATTTCTTAACGTTTCTTAGTCATTTTGAAAAAGGCTTTTTTCGACCCTTTTTTTTAATTTTCATCCCTTTTCCGTCAACTTAAATCAAATTTTCTTTCTGAATATTATTATTCACGTATTTGCGTACTTTTTTTATATATTGCACCAAAACTGGTCATATCATGATTAATTTAAAATTTTACTGGACTGTACTAATAATAATACGATAAAACATACATATAACACAGTTGTGATATGATAAGGAACGTAAACTTTTGAGCTTAGTTATGAACTCGGAGTGACTCAAAGAGAATATCAACTTCCGGATTTTCCTCTGCAAGATCGTTGTACAGACTATTACTAAAAACTACAACTCCCTTTCCCCCCTATATATCACAATGATAATGGATCATTTTTACAACCCAGAAATATAATAAAATGATTCAGTGTTAATAACTATAAGTCAAAGTTCAAATCACCTGCAGAGATAACCCGAGGGTGTGAGGAACTCATCCCACTTGTCGGCAGCCCGGCCTGTGATCCTGATCTTCCCGTAACCAACCGGGCCGTCTTCAAACCGGCAGTCATCAGTCACATTCAGCACGGGAAGAGAGTCCAGCGTCACCAAATACTCGAGGGAACGGGATCGCATCTGATGATGTAATTACTTGACCAGTTGAATGTATTGTTTGTATTTGATAGACTCTAATGAATTAGTGCTGGTTGGTAGTTTATATTCACATATGTCAACTTAAAAATGTAAAGTTCCAACAAAATTATTTAAAAGAGCAATGCGCAAGTTAAATGACTTCTTCTGATGAGACAACATTCCGAATGAGCGATAGATTAAAATAAAAATTATGGCTATTCGAAAGTGCTTAAATTTATGTTTATTTGTAGTCTATTCTATTATCGAGAGCTCATATATAACATTTTATTTTATTCTACCGCTCATTCGTAAAGCAGACTCATTACAAGAAGAATGAGCAAGAAACTTGCTTACTGTTCTTTTAAATAAATTACGTTCAGCATTACATATGTATGTAGGATTTGAAACTTGGCGGTATGAACGAATGGGAACGAATGAGTATGAATGAATGGAAACAGAGGAGCAAATGGATAGAAACGAAAGAGTGAATGGATGGAGAAAGGAATGAATGAAAAAAGAGGATGGGCATCGCTCTCTTCCTCGTAGACTGCCATATAGTTAGGTCGTTTCATGTATCATAGTAAATGTTTTTTTTTGTAATTTAAATAAAAGGAGTTCTATAAAATAATCATCCTGTTATTCGCGAATCCTCATTCCCACATGTATATAGAAGTTTCTGTGAATACAACATGACAAATAGCCAGAATGAGAAACGTAAATATAATAACTGCTTGTATAACTGAATATAGAATACAGTCCTAGTTATCAGACCAAACCAGTCCTTACAAGCATTACTCGTTCAAAAGTTAACGGGTGAGCCAACCATCGCTGCGGTCAAACATATTAGAAACCCATATGTGCCAATGATATCAATATTTGTAACAGAAGAATTGGAACCAACCTTCTTTCCTCTGTGTAAAGCGATGAGATGACTGCATCTGAACCTGGGGTCTCTCTGACCGGCACCATCCACAATACGCTGGACAATACTTTCTACTGCACTCTCCATCTCTGTTGACATCTGGCCTACATAACAAAAATTCATATTAACAACTAGGAGGAAAGGGTATTGTTAGTAATAGAAACTAATAAGCTTCTTGCTAGCAATGTACCATTTTTGACCTCCGGGCGGTTGCCCCTAGAAACCGTCAGGATAAATTTGTGATAATGTGCTAAACACAATCTATACATATAAATAAAATTGGAGTGTCTGTTTGTAATATTGAAAGAACCGTTTTTTACTGCATGAATAGGACATACACTAAAAAATCTATCTGTCTCTCAGTCTGTTTGTTCCGGCTAATCTCTGAAATGGCTGAACCGATTTTAACGGGACTTTTTTTGACAGGTAGCTGATGTAATAAGTAGTAACTTAGGCTACTTTTATTTTAAAAACATTATTTTATTTTAGAAAAATAAAGTATAATTCCATGGGGACGAAGTGGCAGGTACAGTACTATTATAAATACTAATATAATAAATACAAAATAGTGAAAAGAAGGGGATTGTTAGTAATGTGGACATTACTAACAAACCCATTGCTAGCAATGGAGGAATTAGGAACCGCATGGAGGTTGATGAACCGCAAACGGATATAGTACATGTCCGTTTGACATCCATGAGGTTCCTCCTGGAAAGCATTGTGATAAATTCCTGATGAATTTGTCTAACTGACATTTTATCATCCTCTACTGGTGACCCGCTAGCGTAAACCGTTAGCGCCGCTAACTGCAATGCTATCTACTTCGTTCTGGGTTATTATTATTCTATTTTATTCTATCCTGGATGGACCTTTTTATTTATTTATACTCTTTATTGCACTAGAGACAGAGAATAATAAAATATAATTACATAAACTGATACAAAAGGCTAAGCAATCTCTTCCAGACTACCAGTAGAGAAAGTAACATTAAGTTAAGAAAAACAGTAAAGGTAATGTGTACTGATGACCCTAGTGTTTACAATGTATCATGTTTGACCTCTAGGAACCGCCTCATGGAAACCATCATGAGACGTGCTAACTGACCTGACCTCATTTTATCATCCTCCACTGGTGTGGCGGGCGCCCTCTACAATGTTATCTGAACTGTCCTAGGTTATTATTTATTATTCTATTTAATTGTATTCTGGATGGACCTTTTTATTTATTTATTCATGATTTTGTATACAAAACTGTATACAGTACTCTTAATGGCATTCTCTATCACTCACCGTTCAAATTCAAATTCTTAATTGTGAAGAACAGGTTACAAAGGTCTCTTAAGACCTTTAAGAATAGATAGTATGTTGCACTGTCTTCTGCAATTACGCCTACATGTTCCAATATCTTTACCTTTCTGGTCTTCCTCATATAAATTGTCTACGTAGGAGTTCAAAGCACGAAGTTGGTTCACTGTAAACTTGAGGCCGGTGACTGGTAGACGCAGATCAGCACCAGGCATCTCGCCACCCATCCCCGAAGATCCGGAACCCATGGTTTTTGGAGTACTCTTGCTTTGGATTCAAACCAACCTGAAGAATAACAAGTTTTACAAGATAATTACAAAGATATTATTTAATTTCATATTGTATATATAAAAATATATAAAATTACTAGTAGTAATAATAATAATAATTTTATTTGGAAAAAATTGTGGGTACATTACATATATGAAGTTATTGAAAACATGGCCGTTGCAAAATCTGCTTATAAGTAAGTGTACATATAATTTTTTTCTACACAAATACAGACATAATAACAAATAAAACTAGATACAATTTTACCCAAAGGATAAGGCAACTAATACGCACGTTTCACACTAGTCAGATATCTTTAGATAAATTTGTTTTAAAATTATTCGTAACCAAGGCAGTATAAAAAAATAAAAAACTGTTCAAGACATTGAAATTATAATGAATTTTCAGAACAACGAAATAAATACCTTTATATACATTATATTCTGCTTACTCTATTATTACTAATAATAGAACGGAAAGTAAATATTTACGGCAATATACTTTCAGTATTGCTTGCACGTTTGGATGAGGAGAGACGCAAGGTCTCTGAATGGAGATAGAATGAATACTACAGAATACCTATCGTAATTTTAACATCTATATCTACATGTTATCTAGTCTCTGTAATTCTTGTGTAAAATGCTTGGCACAATAAAGAATTTATACAACTATATATAAAAATATATAAAGAATATATAAAACTAGCTTTTGCCCGCGGCTTCACTCGCGTTAAATTATCCTCTTAGGGGTGGAATTTATCAAAATCCTTTCTTAGGGGTTGCCTACGATATAGTAGATTTATGCATGCAAAGTCTCAGCTCGATCGGTTTAAAATTTGTCAAAGTTTCATCCCTTATTTTATCCCCTTGGGGGTAGAATTAATCAAAATCATTTCTTAGCGGGTGCCTACGTCATAACATCTACCTGCATGCCATATTTCAGCCCGATCCGTCCAGTGGTTTGGGCTGTGCGTTGATAGATCACTATGTCAGTCAGTTGTCACCTTTGAGTTATATATATTTAGATAAAATATTTAAAGTTTACAAGAAACACATAAGGTTTTAAATTAGAAGTTTTACTGAATAATTAGGTTCACTTTTGTATAGACTACCATAATCTCATGACTTCCACTATATCCACGCAGTAACGCATTATGATACTTATGCAACCTCCTCAATAGAAATAGAAATAATCTTTATACAAATAAGTTTAAGATAAGCACTTTGTATAGTCATGTTTTTTTTTATTCTACCACTAATTCCGAATGCACAGTCATCACAAATGAGAAAGAAACTTGCATGTTGCTCTTTTAAATAAATGTTTTCTATGTAATAATTGACTTTTTTCTAGTTTTTATTTATTTTACGACCTCGGTGGTCTAGCGGTCTAGCACACCGCTTTACGTCCGATGGTCGCGGGTTCGATTCCTCGCACGGCACAAACATTTTTATTCATGAGTATGATTGTTTGTATCGGACTGGGTGTTTTCTATATATAATATGTATGTATTTACGAAAAAAAATGTCTATGTACTTGTATCAGTTATCTAGTACCCGTAACACAAGTTTTAGCTAGCTTAACTTGGGACTAGATGGCGCTGTGTGAATTGTCCTGAGATTATTATTATTATATATTAAACCAATACAGATATCCACGTGTTAATACTTGTGTTATGTTACTCTATTATTATATAGGTACGTTAATTATTTACTGGTTTCTAACTAATATGTCTAATAGGGTTTTCTTAAATTTAAAGTACCTCAAGTACAAGTAAAGTACCTCACCGAACAACGGTGCACACTGGTTCGCACTACGTAGCACAACTTATTAGTTAACTCAGTGCAATCAAATGCATTTGTATTAAATACTGAACTGGCTTCAATTGTCAATTCAAATTTATCACATACAATCTGTGTGTTCTATATTATTACACCAAAAACCTCAGTTTACAGTAAGCAGTTGCTACATATTATGTTTAACCAACATAATATGCATCGGTTGATTACACAAGATTGCGCGGGCGCACAATGTCGGGGAGAAATCAAAATGGCCACAATAGCCCTTCCGGCGGAAACGCATTATGTCCCGCCGTTCATGCGCGGAGATGACCATGATGTGACATACACGTAACATGTCCACAAACATAATGTAATTTAATCACAAATTCAAATACTAGTACTAGTACTAGTAAAACCACAGATAATATAATATTAGTGAAATTAAAAATAAATATTTCGTACCAGGTGACTCGCTCAACTTCGTTTGCATTACACTTACTTGACCTCTCCGTCATGCTTATGACATTTAACGTTATATTTGGACCAATTTTACATACTTTCTTTTTAAATTATAACTTAAGTTTTATTCTAATGTATAAGCTATAATACGGCAAAGTTTCATAAAAATCCGTTCAGTAGTTTTTGCGTGAACGAGTAAGAAACATCCACCCATCCATCTATACTCATAAACTTTCGCGTTTATAATATCAGCAGGTTCAGCTGGTTAGTGAATTTACCACGACGGGCTATCTGACCTGACTGTCACTTTACCATCCTCCACTAATGCCCCGCCAGCGTAAACCATTAGCGCAGGCGAGTGCACCACTCCATTATCAAAATAAAAAATTACATAAATTGAATATAACTACAGTGGACCCGCGGTAATCCGGCCCCTGTCTAATCCGGCCCCCCTTGTAATCCGACATTGTCTATTATTTGTTATTGAATATTACTTTGACAATGTACTTCAGAGTGCATATACATACATACATATATAACATAGAATCTTATCACTGGATCTGGAATGTAATTTGTCGGATTACAAGATACTCTTTTGTAAAAAATTCCGGACTATAAGCAGAGGACCCTTAAGCAGCACTCTATAATCCGACAAATACGATGGTCCGACACTGCCCTGCAAAACGTTTGTCGGATAACCGGGGGTCCACTGTATATGTATATAATATAAAGAATCATAATTGGATCTATAATTTGTCGGATTACAACTCGGTACTCTTTGTAAAAAAAATCGGACTATAAGGGGTCTTAGGCAGTACTCTATAATCCGACAAATTCGATAGTCCGACACTGCCCTGCAAAATGATTGCCGGACTACCGGGGTCCACTGTACTCCCTTATTTTAAGCCGATTAAGAGTATATTGTAATCTTTATCACGCGGCATTGAATGGGAAGTAACAATAAACTTATTTTTATCTAGAAGCACAGATAACACAATATTGCACACTAAAAGTTAGTCATTATGTTAATAACATTATCAACGTATGTACACACGAAATTAATCAGCCGTAATATATAATAAGTGGCCAGTTATCTGTCTGTTTAGATAATTACTTCATTCTGTAGATTATCAAGGAGAGGGATCGACTAAAAAGCGATTATGTATGTACAAGTTGTATGAGTGGAACGAAATGAATTTAGTAATTTGAATTCACTACAAAAAAATCAACTTTAATGTACACCAGATAGATACACTGTCGCTGGCAGCTTGTCTGCCATCATTTTTTATAAACTTTGTATTTTTCTTCGCAGTGGGAAATATAAACATTCATTACAATTATTCAGATGTTTAATAAAATAATCGTTGTGTTCTCGCTCTTGTCACAGACACTTTTAAATATATATTACTGATATTATAAACGCGTTTGTGTGTATGAATGGATGGATGGATGGTTGTTACTCTTTCACGTAAAAGCTAAAGTACGGATTTTGATGAAACCTTACAATAAATAATAGCTTATACATCAGAATAACATATAGGCTATAAATTAAAAAGAAATTATGAATAATATAATAATAAATCAAGTAAGTGTGATGCAGAAGAAGTTGCGTGGCTCAGCTAGTACATAATATTATAAATGCATGCATTTAGCGCATCGCCTTGCTTCCGATGGTCGCTAGTTCGATTCTCGCACAATATAAACATTAGTTTTCATAATTGTGTTTGTAATGGCCTAGGTGTTTTCTTGCATATTATGTACATATTATCAAAAATATTTCTAACAATTGTTTAGTCTCTTATTTTTATATGATATTATAAACACTAAAGTTTATGAGTATGGATGTATCAGTGGGTGGATGGATGTTTGTTACTCTTACACGTAAAAACTATTGATTGGATTTTAATAAAACTTTGCAATAGTATAGCCTTATAACATATATGCTATAAATGTCACGCGAAAGAAACCGCAGGTACAGCTAGTATGTTAAATATTTAATTTCAGATACCTATTTACATATATGTACCTATAGCCACATCCGTATAGTTTAGTAACTAATCGATTCATTTGAGACAAGGTAGTGAGTATAAAAAAATTAATGACCCTTAATCATCGCCAACCTCGAAATCATATATTTTTTTTCACTGTACCTACATACCATCCATACTAATGTTACAAAGTGGTCTGCACTAGTACCTCAGTTTTTTTTTATCAATGATTATAGAATCGGGCTCCTTTGCACAAACGGTATACGCAAGCAGGGCACCAGTGAAGGATGATAGTATAAGCATGAAGTTAGGGCAGTTAGTCCATGACGAATTCTCCAGGAATTAACCACAATGGTTTCCAAGGGGGGACCGTCTGGACGCCGATCTAAAATGGTATATTGTTACTAAAAAGATTAATATTCCCCATTCCTAACAATCCCTTTGGAGCCTCGGTTGCACCTATTTGAGCTGCTAAGCAAGTTGCTTTATAAGACGTGTCTCAGTTGAAAGATGAACGCCTCTTCACGGCTAACAGAACTTCCCAGAATAAGCACTCGATGAAAAGTTTTCACTCTACATAGTCTATTATGAACCAATCATATGCTGTTACATCACACGTTCAAGGCAGATCCCCCTCCGATCGACCCCTGACCTACTCAAACGGGGATCGAAATTATGACGGCCTGTATAGATATGAACCCCTAGCACTGCCCTGAGACTAAAGTCATATCCGTAAGGCAGAAGTTCGCCTTCAGCCGCTCTATAAATCCTTCCTCAGGTTTAGAGTGCCAACTGCACTCGCCCCCTATCGTCCGGTGAAGCTGTAAAGGCCAGTTGCGACCGACAGCATTAGAGTAGTCCGAAAACAAAACAAATTATAATCAGTACCTATACTCCCGTGTTCCCCTTTCCATACATACTACAAGTCGCATTGTTGTTGAAAAGTAAATCTTAACGCAATGTCTTTAAATCTCAAATAGAACAATACCATCTCACTCCACCTGGCATATATCACCAATTAGTTTAGCAATAACCATCATTACGATGATTATTACCCAATGACGTGTCATTTACGAGTGCTATTATCATTCCGAGAGGCGGAAGGTCGCCACGCAGTGGTGTGTGACGCGCCATGTTTCCCACAAAAAAAAACAAGTAATTGTACCTATATTAAAAACAAACATTTTATTTATACGTAAGTATAATTATGAAAAATCACGGGATCTTACCACGTTTTTTTCTTTTGAGGTCTGATATTTCGGCTGTTTAAACCGTTATGATGACGTGT